TAGTGCCTCCTTTACATTTGTTTTCTGCATTTAACTCCAACCTGATTTCTTAATGTTTCTCAACCTTGGCAACTTTTTAAGAGATGCAGACTTCAACTCCCACAATTCCCCAGCCTGCATTCCCCCAGCCAATTCTGGGAATTGAAGTCCACACATCTTAAAATTGCCAAGGTTGAGAAACATTGTTCTAGATGGATTAATATTCTAAGCTGCCCAGATTTACCCTGTGGCCAATAAATCAGACAAGACGGAGAGACAGAGGAGAGCGGTGTGGTGGCCTAGTGGTGTGGTGGCCTAGTGGTGAAGACGCTCGTCTCCCATTCAGGAAGGTTGAGAGTTGAATCCTAGGTAGCGGCAGACATTTCTCTCTTGTGTGCAAAGAAAAAAAATATTTGCTGTGAATGCTTATGTGGTGTCAGGAAGGGCATCTGGCCAGTAAATGCTCAATTCCATCTAGTAGTCCTGGCTCTACCCTGAATTAAGGGATTACAGGCTCATAAAAAGGGATAGATAGATGGAGAGGTGGGTAGGTGGATGGATGGATGGATGGATGGATGGATGGATGGATGGATGGATGGATGGATGGATGGATAGATAGATAGATAGATAGATAGATAGATAGATAGATAGATAGATAGATAGATAGATAGATAGATACATACATACATACATACATACATACATACATACATACATACATACTGTTGTGGCCCGTCAGTGGCCTGGGCGGATCATGGCTGATCCCGACGACGAGGAGGCTGGTGTGGGGTTGCGCCAGCAGTCAGCGCTCGCGTCGGACAGCGAAGAGGCTGAAGAGGATGTGGTGCCAGAGGCAGAGACTCAGCCTGGGCCTTCAGAACCTCCAGAGGCTTCTTCAAGTGGAGAGAGTGAAGTGGAGGAGCCTCTCCTCAATGCTCGAGCACGCAGGGCTGCCAAAAGGCAGGAGTGGCTACTCAGGAGGAGGAGGTCTGTAGGGCTTGAGGATAATTGGCCACTCCCTTAGTCTATTTAAGTCGCATGCAGCTAGTGCTTTCTTGCTAGAAACAACGTCTCATTACTACAGAGCATCTTGGAGAGCGAGCGACTTCTCATATCTGGTTTTCTGGGCTGGTTGCCAACCTTTGTCGGATTTTGTTCTTAATAACTTTGATAAGGATCCTTTGCACGGGAAGCCTGCATTCTTGAAAGGGGTTTGTTTGGAATTAAACAGTGTTTGCGAAGCTTAGTGTGTGTCACATTCTCTGGGAATTTGAAGCTGGGGCAGAACACATACATACATACACCAAATCCCTAAGAATTCTGGGAGATGAAGTCCCATCGTACTAAAAAGTGGCTTTTTGGGTTGAGTAGTCTTATGGCAACAAAACACTATTTTCTGCTTTCAGAAGAGACAACGGAAAAGACTGCAGTTGTGACTTTGCCGCATGCTGTCATTTTGGTACCGGAGGAGCAATTTAAGATGCAAGGTACGTCATCCTTAATTATTGTAGCAATTGTGCCAAAGAGTCTGTTAGGTTTTCGGGTGCCCTTGGGGGCCAAGTTACACGAATGCAGCAGAGGGCAGAAGCAGCGCTGTGCTGAAAGTCAAAAAACAGAGAAGGATGAACAAGATATGAATTCCATCGCTGGAAGCTTTTAAGAATAGACTGGACAGCCGTTTATCTGGAATGGCGTAGGGCAGAGATGGCTAACCTTTTTGCCATCGCGTGCCAGGAGCAGGAGGGGAGGGGAGGTCACGCATGCGGGCCCCCCGCTCCTCACATGTGATGACACGGTGGGCCCGGTAGGCCTGTTTTTCTCTCTCCCCAGGTTCCAGAGCCTTTCTAGGAGCTTGGGGAGGGCAAAAATGGCCTTCCCCACCCACCCGGAGGCCCTCTGGAAGCCGGAAACGGCCCGTTTGTCAACTTCCGGTGGGACCGGAAGGCCCGTTTTTTGCTGTTCCCCAGGCTCCAGAGCCTTTCTAGGGAGCTTGGGGAGGGTGAAAACGGCCTTCCCCACTCACCCGGAAGCCCTCCGGAGGCCGGAAACGGCCCATTTGCCAACCTCCGGTGGGACCGAAAGGCCCGTTTTTTGCTCTTCCCCAGGCTCCAGAGCCTTTCTAGGAGCTTGGGGAGGGTGAAAACAGCCTCCCCCCCCTGGAGGCCCTCTGGAGGCCAGAAACAGTTCATTTGCCAACTTCCTGCCAAGGTTTACCATCACGGGCGTAGGGCATCTCCTGCGTGGGCCAGGGGTTTGGACTAGATGACCTCTAAGGTCCCTTCCAACTCTTGTTCTTCTGTTCTTCGCAGTTCTCTTTGCCGTGATGTCAAGCTGTTCATGTTCTCACCGTTTCTTATCTTTTTTGGTCTCCTTCCCACAGGCCAGCAGAAGTTGAGCATCAAGGTGTGGATCGCTGTTTCTTCGATAAGTGTGTTTGCCCTTTTGACTACTATTGTGGTAGTCCTGGTTTTGTTATTCCGAAGGCGGAAAGGATCTGGCTTGATCAATTAAATAAAAAGATCCCTCGATTACCCAGGATATGTGTGGGTGAAGTGATTTCACTAAGCCATAATATGAGGGCTTGCTAGTGTCCTGACCTTAGGCTTCCTGAGACAGTAAAAAGCACACGATTAGTCCCCAAAACCCTCTTTTTATTTCAACGGCTGTGAATTCTGTTCATTCACAGCCCGTACTGAGTCACAAATAGTTTGTAAAGAGTCCGACAGAAGTCTGCCACAGTCCTTTGGAATAAGGCTGATAAACACCCACCTTTATCTCCCTTGACACCCTGCCAAAGACCTAATTGGCAATTAGCTTTGCAAGGCCACATGGAGCACAGAGTCAAAACGGAGCTTCAGAATTTAAACCGACCAGCACAAACAAAGTTGCTTCCTGCAAAGGTTCATGTGCCTTTGCTTCCTCCTTTATGTCTTATGGGAGGGACCAATCACCTCCAAGCCTTACTCCCGAGTCGTCCCTTTTGTTTTAACTGTTCTTGCCTTCTGGCAGTGCTGCGCATGTGCGCACTGGGAACAGGCTCCCCCCGTTCCTCTGCCTCAATGATGTGCAACTCTGGAGGCAGCACATCACTCCCAGATGGCTCTGGCCCCCTCTCTGCCTCTGACGCAGAGCCCTCGTCTGAGCCTTCCCCAGATTCCAGGACTGGCCCATGTTTCTCCCCAACCTCCTCACTGTCGGACCACAACAGCTGGTAACTCTTTATGCTGTGTGAGAACCCATCCAGTTATGGCTTCCCTAAATAATCAAGGAACGAAACAAACCTAGGTAAGATCCAGACTGACCAGGCTTTCCAAATTTGGTGGATTGCATGCTAGGCTTTTCTTCTTCTTTTGCAGTATAATTCTCTTGTAACGCTCTTAATTCTCGGAGATAAAATTCCTGCTTAACCATCCCTCTTAAATTGCTTCTTCAAAGGGTTGAGTTTCCCTCCTTCCTGCGTTTGCCAAAAAACCCCCCCCAACTATTTGATCTTGGGCCCGAAGAGTGATGCAGAGCTTTCGATGAAGGATTGGAGTGATTTTATGCCTCGGGGGAATTTTCCCCGCTCTCGCAGCTTTGTGCTTCTGCATAATTTGGTGGATCAGTTGCTTCTCAGCACTCCCGTTTTCTCACACAGCAGGCAGGAATTCTTCCTCCGCAGACAATATTATTTTTAAGTGACCTTTTTGTCAGGAATGCACGCATTTACTCTTGGGGCCCCGATCGTTGCTAGAAATGCCTCGTATCTAAAATACAAAATGATCCCGCTTTTTCTATATACCGTATTTTTCGGAGTATAAGACGCATCTTTTTCCCCCCTAAAAGGGTGTGAAAATTTTGGGTGCGTCTTATACACCAAATGTAGCCCCGTCCACCCACTGGCCCCCACCCTTTGGCCTCTGCCTCCCAGCAATTTACCTCCTTGCAGCAAGAAGAAACAGCCCCTTTCAGCTTCAGCACAGCCTGATCAGCACAAGTTGATTATCGGTTGGATCGGCCTCCCGACTCTCAGCTGTTTCAGGCTGCAGGGATTGCCATTGTCTATTGCTGTGCGGGCCTCTGCTGCTTGCTGCAAGGAGGTAAATTGCTGGGAGGCAGCATTTTTTTTTCTTGTGCTAATCAAGCTATGCTGAAAATGAAAATGAAAGTAAAGCAGGCTGTTTGCTGTTTGCTGCAAGGAGGTAAATTGCTGGGAGGCAGATTTTTTTTCTTGTGCTAATCAAGCTATGCTGAAAACGAAAATAAAAGTAAAGCAGGCTGTTTGCTGTTTGCTGCAAGGAGGTAAATTGCTGGGAGCAGATTTTTTTTTCTTGTGCTAATCAAGCTATGCTGAAAATGAAAATGAAAGTAAAGCAGGTTGTTTGCTGTTTGCTGCAACGAGGCAAAATTGTGGGAGGCAGATTTTTTTTTCTTGTGCTAATCAAGCTATGCTGAAAATGAAAATGAAAGTAAAGCAGGTTGTTTGCTGTTTGCTGCAACGAGGCAAAATTGCTGGGAGGCAGATTTTTTTTTCTTGTGCTAATCAAGCTATGCTGAAAATGAAAATGAAAGTAAAGCAGGTTGTTTGCTGTTTGCTGCAACGAGGCAAAATTGCTGAGAGGCAGAGGCAGATTTCTTTTTCTTGTTTTCCTCACCAAAAAAGGTAGGTGCGTCTTATAGTCCGGAGCGTCTTATACTCCAAAAAATACGGTATGTCCATCTTGTCCTGTCCCCTCTGCTGTCTGGAATGCAGCTCCTGTCACATTTCTTTGCGAGCTAGACCTGGATTCACGTCAGGTGCCAAATCTTGAACTCATCCTTGTCTTCCCCCAGTCCCTATTCCCTCTATTCAGTAAATATCAAATTTACTGATATGAGAGAATATTTGGAGCTCAGGGTTGACATAAGGAGTCCTTGGTGCTCTCTGAGCTTGGTGGTTTTCTTGCAGACGTTTCATGACCCAACTAGCTAATATCATCAGTGCTATGATGTTACCTAGCTTGGTAATGAAATGTTTGCAAGAAAATAACCAAGCTCAAAGAGCACCAAGGGCCACAAAATAGATTTACTAGATCAATTTCCAGCAAAAGGTGATTCTGGATCAAATCTAAACCAATGGAAATTGGATCCAATCATTTTTGATGACGGTTGTTTAGTGAATTGTGGTTATTAAATGAATCTAGCTTTCTCCAATGAAAGAAGTATTAGGGTTCCGACCGATGCCCTAATTAAATCATGAGCCTCAAGCCAAGCTTCAAAAGAAATCCAGAGCTTCATGTCTGCACGTTCCAAGTGAAGCCAACTCTGACCCCACGTAATTTATGTTCCTGCTTGACCCTGTTTCCCCCCTCCGTCCAAGGTGTGTCATCAGTCATATTCTCCAAGAAGCAATTTCGCAGGTTGTAGAGATCACTCCCCTCCAGCCACTGTGGGTAACCGTGGAGACAGCCTTGACAGAGATATGGCTGGAATGTGTTTTTGTTTTGTGCTGCCTCACCGCAGCTGCAGAGTTCGTTTTCCCATCTCCTTTGCCTATGGCAACTCGAGAGCAGGCCAGGGATGCTTTGCAAGTTGACAAGAAGGAGTCTAGAAGGAGGGTTAAAACAGGTGTGAACTGTCTCTGGCTTTTTTTTTTTTTTAATTTGATTGATATGCTGCCCTTCTCCGGAGACTCAGGGCGGCTTACAATGCGTTAAGCAATAGCCTTCATACTTTTGTATATTTTTACAAAGTCAGCTTATTGCCCCCACAATCTGGGTCCTCATTTCACCTACCTTTGAAAGGATGGAAGGCTGAGTCAACCTTGAGCCTGGTGAGATTCGAACTTACTAATTACAGACAGCTGGAGTTAAATTACAATGCATTAGTCTGCTGAGCTATCCAGGCTCCGAGAGCAATCAATTTCTCTAAAAGAAAGTTAGATTCTCTTTATTCAAGATTTTGGACTGTACAATACAGTTCACAAACATGTAAGGTCAAAACTCTAGGCGAAACTAAACCAAAACACAAAATAAAGCAATCTTTTATTTGTAATTTAATCAGCATAAGCATGCCAGTATATATACAATATTAGATGGAGTTAAGACTCCAATTTAAATGAGAATATCAAGCAAAATTGCTGGTGAATGTTTTTATAGGACTTGTCCCAAAATGATTTCTGCCCCACTTCTAATAATGAGGGTATGGATGTCATTTAAAACGTTTCTTTCGATGGATCAATTTGGTGTGTTTGGAGAATCTCAATACTAAAAAAACAGAAAAAACAGAAGCATACAACGTCTCCTTCAGCCGCCTTTTAATTGGTTTATTTCAATGTTTCCCCCCCCAAAAAAATTGGCCACTTTTATGAAATGTGGACTTCAACTCCCAGAATTCCCCAGCCAGTATACTTAAAGTCCACACCTCTTAAAGCTGCCAGTTTTGCAAAACATTGATTTATTTAATGACTCTGCTCCTGCAGGTTAAGCTATCGATCAGTTTGCACACAAAGGCCCCAGTTCTCAAAAATGGTGGATGAACCCATATCTCCATTTAATGACCCCATAATCCCTTGTGGGGTGGAGTCTGGGCAACTGAATGGAGCTGAGTGATTTCTGGCCAGATGCCCTTCCTGTCGCCAATGCGGAGTTTTGTTCAGTAGATAAATTCTCATTGTGCCCAGAGAGAGAAATTGTTGTGGCTCCGTTACCTGAGCCTGGGTCATCGGCAGGAGAGGACTCCGAGAGTGAAGGAGTGGAGTTGGCAAGGCCTCTCTCTCCAGGACCCTCCTCTCTGGCAATGCCTTCGATGTCCGCCGAAGGGCAAGAGATAGGGCCGGGGCCAAGCACGTCCACGCAGCCACAGATGGACAGTGATGAGGGTAATGAGTCTTGGCTGGATCCACGCCAGCGTCGCAGAGATAAGCGCGCGCAACAGAAGAAAAGGCGTGCCTGAGATTAGGCTGAGTCACTGGACCACACCCCACAGGATATAAAAGGGAGCGTGGTGGCCAGTCAAACCTTGTGACGAACAAAGCTGAAAGCTTCCACGCCATTCTGCATTGCCGGACTTTTTGCTATAGACTTTGCTGGATTATCTCTGGACTTGATTGACTCCGTAATTATTGAGCTGTTTCTTTTGATGTACCAGGAGTGGGGAGAAGTTATCTCTCCTCTTCGTAAATAATAAACTCTTGGCAGGCAGCCACTAGGTTGTTGCCAAGTTCCGTTATCATAAGGAAAAGGATTTTGCTGGCTGGTTTGGTCTTTAACTCTTTTTTTTTCTTTTTCTTTTTCTTTTTAATTTGATTTATATGCCGCCCTTCTCCGAAGACTCAGGGCGGCTTACAATGTGCTCAGCAACTCTTGAACGTCTGTTGGTGTGTGTGCGTGTGGTTGGGGACAGAACAGAAATATCTGCCTCTACCTAGGATCAAACTCGCAGCCTCCTGATTGTGAGGTGAGAGCTGGTGGATGAACACATATCCCTGGAGTTAATCCGCCCAAATAAATCCATTTGTTATCATCTATCTGGCCAAGACAGAGACCAAATGTAGCAAAGGCTGCCCAGATTCACTGGGGTCTCCGGGAGCGCTTTTGACTTGAGGTTGGAAAAGTCCCTCTGCATCTGGAGGTTGGTCGGACACCGTGATTCTCCGACGGAAATTCTGGCCCAGCAAGATGTAGATGAAAGGGTTGAGGCAGCTGTTGGCATAACCCAGGCTGATCGCCACATTGTAGGCATAATAGAAAGGCAAGGTGGGCTCGACGGCCAGTTGGATGAGCTGTAGGACGTGGAACGGAGCCCAACACAAGAAGAAGGCCAAGCAGATGGCAATGGCGATGCGTGTCACCCGTTTGATCCGGAGTTGGGTGCCCCGTTGCCTGGTCAGAGCTTCAGAAGATCGGGCCATCTTCAGAAGGATTCTCTGGTAGGCCACGGTGATGACCGCGAATGGGATGGCGAAAGCAAGGAAGAACTGGTAGAGGGTATACCAGTAGATGTCCCACTGAGGATCCGGCAGATGTATCCCGCATCCCAGGAGCTCTCCTGGCAAGGGAATGAGCTGGGCGTACATCCAGACAGGAGTGATACTGAGAAAGGAGAGGCCCCAGATCATGCAGATGGCCATGATGGCCAGAGGAGGTTTCCTGAAGCGGGTGGAGGAGAAAGGATAGACGGTAGCCAGGTAGCGGTCAATGGACATGGCGGTGAGGATGTAAGTGCTGGTGAACTGGCTGTTGGCATCCAAGGCGGTAATGATGGTACACATGGTCCCTCCGAATTTCCAGGTTCCTTGGCCCAACAGCTGGTGGATGAGGAAAGGCATCCCCAGAAGGAACAGGAGGTCCACCAAGGAAAGGTTGATGATGAAGATATCAGGTACGGTGCTGCTGGGCCTGGATTTCTTCAAGACGGCGCAGATCACCAGGCTGTTGCCAATGATGCCCACCAGACAGATGATACCAAAGAGGGTGGACATGATAATAGTCGAATAACTCATGGAGCCGAGGTCGCCTGTGAAGAAAGAGAAGAGGAGGAGAGAGAGGGTACTTGAAGTGCCATGTTTAATAATCCTCAGCTAAAGCTGGATCACCAGAGTTTGAGATGGCTACTGATTGCCCCAGATCAGATTTCTGGGACTTCGGAGCTCCAGTTCCATGTTCATGTCACAAGGCACAATGTGCCACAAGAGAGTAAAAGCATCATGGAGGACAGAAGGAAAGGAGGGATATGATTTTATTTATTTATTTATTTATTTATTAGTTCGATTTATATGCCGTCCTTCTCCGGAGACTCAGGGCGGTTTACAATGCATTAAGCAACAGCCTTCATACTTTTGTATATACCTGCTTAGTAGGGCTTTTGGCCCCCCACCCCAAGCGGTGTTCTTTTTCATACAAAGTCAGCTTATTGCCCCCGCAATCCGGGTCCTCATTTTACCTACCTCGGAAGGATGGAAGGCTGAGTCAACCTTGAGCCTGGTGAGAATTGAAACCTTTAATGCTATTAAGAGTGTGAATAAGGTTCTAAAAACAAGGATCTCCAAACTTGGCAACTTGATGTCTTGTGGACTTCAACTCCCAAGATTTTTTTTATTTTTTTATTTTATTTGTCAAGCATATATAAGATAACAGATAAAAGGATAAGCATAATTTGAATACATGAAAAGGATACGAGTTAAAAAGGGATATTAAGACAGGGACTGATTAATGTATAATAATTAATAATTAATTATAATAAGTAATGGCTGACTAAGGAAGAGGATGCCTTCGCCCAAGTAAGCCTTAACTCCAGAGATACACCACCTTCTTAGTTATTTATTTATTATTTATTTATTACATGTATTTATATGCCGCCATTCTCCCGAAGGACTCAGGGTGGCGAACACAAGTTAAGAAACAAGTACAATAAAATCATAATTTAATCCAAATAATTAATTAGTAGTAAATAATAAAGCCCGGAATCAGTCTCAGCCTATTTGTTTGAAAAGCCAAGTCTTCAAGTCCTGACGGAAGGAGCGGAGATCAGGAGCCGTCCAGAGCTCAGTAAGTAATTCATTCATTATCAGTATCATTAGTTATTATTCATTTGCTGCTTTCTCCAGTGTGGTGAATGGGTTGCTCCATTTCAGGGGTTCTGAAGCTGGGATTAGGTTAACCATGGTGTATCGTGGTGTGCAAACCTAGCTAGAAAGGTGTGCAAAGGCAGACTAACTTTGAAGGAAGCCCACCTGGTCATTACGATGGCTAACAGAACCTTCTGGCCGCAATCAAAAGTATGGGTGGAATTCAGATAGAATGCTAAACCCACATGGCTTGCTTCTTATGGTTAAGCACGCTTCCTGAACTGTTCAACCACGGCTGGATTTCGACAATGAACCAAGGGGGAAACCACGTTATAGCTTAAGGTAAAATGTTGAAGTGACGTATTTTAGCATATCTGGATGCTAAAGTGAGGCGCGCTCAGAATCTCTTGCTTCTCAGCACCATTTCAAATCCATTTCAGAAGTGTTTTCCAACCTTGGCAACTTTAAGAGGTGTAGGACTTCGACTCCCAGAATTCCCCAGCCAGCCAAGGTTGAAAAAACACCACATTACCTTATATTAGCTGATTTCTATACTAAACCTTATAGGGACGCAGTGGCTCAGTGGCTAAGATGCTAGCTTCTGCAATCTAGCAGTTCAAAAGTACATAAAAAATGCAAGTAAAAAAATAGGGACCACCTTTGGTGGGAAGGTAACAGTGTTCTGTGCGCATTCGGCGTTTAGTCAACAATTCTTATTCCTTCCTATGATAGAGACTTGAGTGTGGGTAGGCCTCCGCTACTAATTACTTATAGATAAGGTTAAGTTATAGGGACATTATAGGTAAGGTTATAGGTTACAGGTAAGGTTATAGGGATGCAGTGGCTCAGTGGCTAAGCTGCTGAGCTTGTCGATCGAAAGGTCGACAGTTCAGCGGTTCAAATCCCTAGTGCCGCGTAACGGGGTGAGCTCCCGTGACTTGTCCCAGCTTCTGCCAACCTAGCACTTTGAACACATAAAAAATGCAAGTAGAAAAATAGGGACCACCTTTGTTGGGAAGGTAACAGCGTTCCATGCACCTTTGGCGTTGAGTCATGCCGGCCACATGACCACGGAGACGTCTTCGGACAGCGCTGGCACTCCGGCTTTGAAACAGAGATGAGCACTGCCCTCTAGAGTCAGGAATGACTAGCACATATGTGCGAGTGGAACCTTTACCTTACAAGAGGAGTATAAAATGTAAGGAATTATGAGCAAAACATGCACAGTGTTTCCTAATTTTTAGCTCAGGGATTCTCGGAGTTGAAGTCCATAGGTCATAAAAGGGGGTCATAGTGTCCCCCTCCCACATTATATCCTATTTTGGAGCACAGCTCTGAAGAGCCCCATTGATTTCAAGATACTTCAATCCAAACTCCCCTTTGTAGCCAAACTCCATAGCTGCTGCCTTTTGGTTTAAAAGAGCTTTCTGTGCGTGCCCAGAAACTCTTTTCCATCTGCTTTGAACAGCCCACTCCATCAGTTTGACTTCTTTTGATGCTTAGAGAGATCAGCATCAGGTGCTTTCGGTCCAGGGACTGTCTTGAATTCAATTGCACCAACCGTCCAGATCAAAGGGCCAGGCAGAATAATTTTGCAATAGCCGGACAGGCATCCAATTCTCCACATTACAAGGACAAGCAAGCATGATCTTGGTTTGGGTTTGAAAAGCTGATTTAGTCAACAAAGGGGAAAGCCAAAGATGAATAGGGGAAATCGTTCATCCCCTAATTTTGCCTTTAATACACAAACACACATACAGAGCCACAACATCTTGGGCATTTAACAAACGTGAAAATGAACAAAATCTGTGCAGCCAGAGGGAATCACCCGGAGCCAATTGAAAAACCAAAACGCACAACCTTTTGAGATAATATCCCTAACTGGCTATAAAATATTTCTTCACCTCCCTCTCATCCTCTCCCTCCAGGTTTAAATATCAGAGAAAGTTTGGGATCAACCCCATCTTTCTTTCTCTTTCCCTTCTTCTTCTTCTTTCCTGATTTCCCTGCATATTTTTCTGCTTCAAGCTTACCTTCGGGAGAGAAGGCTTGTCCCAGCTGTGAGATGTTTAGAACGGAATCCGAATCGTTTGAGGTCTGGTTGGCTTGGAAATCCATTCTTGGAAGGATCGTAGGAAAGCAATTAGATCCCCCCAGGGCTGGTGGGAAAGAGGGTAAGGTGGGATCATGTGGAGATGGATTCCCCAGGCGATGCTCGATTTCTCTCTCTCATGCCTTCCACATTTTTCTGATTCTTCGAGACGAGCAGTTTTGCTTGCGGCAGGGAAGGAGAAATGCACATCACACACAGCCCCGCTCGCTTCTCTTCACTTTGCTCGCTTTCGTCTACCGCCTCCTGCACACGCCAATGCCAGCCCACCTTGTGCATTTTGGGGGTGGGGGGACTTAGCTTGGAAACGAGGATGTGAGTGGCGGGGTTTAAGCCCACATCGTGTTTAGGATAGACCTGGGAGTGTGCTGCAGGCATGATCCAGGGCCAACCAACCCTAGTTTAACGAGTTATTCCCCAGGATACTTTTTAAAGAGTGGTTGGTTGAATTAAGCCAGCAAAGCAACCGAGCCACAAATTAGCCAGACACATTTTACTAGAGGGTGTTGTGCAAATTGGAAAGGGGAGGGGGAAACGGGGCAAAAGGGGGTTGGAAAGGCCCTCCCTCCCAGGGTCTTTCTTCCTCTTTGCGGTGTAGTTGTCTGGCGAGTCTTCCAGCTGATGGGATCGAATAGGGGAGGTTAAAGAAAGCGTATCCTGTAGAGCCGAGTTGCTCCGTGCTGCTCATAAGCCACAGTTGATTGCATTCAGAAGGTACACAGAAGGTACACATCACCACAGTGTGGCTTTGTCGGTTGCGTGTGTTAAATTGGCTGTTTTTCACCTGAAGTTGGCATTCCTGGGGTGTGATTTGTCAAGACATCGCTCAGTAGGGCTAGAGGGCAAATGGAAGAGTGCAAACCTAATTTCCATTCACTTATTCCGTCACCCATTTTATTTCGCTCCCTCCTAACCTCGCCCTATGCCAACTCCAAGAATTCAACTGTGGCCCTAAGTCGAGGACTACTTGTATATTTTTTGATGTTGGGTGCGGAAAATGTGGCTAATGTCATTTTAAGCTTGGTCTTTGGATAGATTCTTACCCAGATATCCAGTTTGTGTATCCAGAATCCCCCAGGGAGAGATTTAATCCAGGATTTTTTTTTTTGTTGTTGTTAGTTGTGAAGTCATGTCCGACTCATCGCGACCCCATGGACAATGTTCCTCCAGGCCTTCCTGTCCTCTATCATCCTCTGGAGTCCATTTAAGCTCACGCCGACTGCTTCAGTGACTCCATCCAGCCACCTCGTTCTCTGCCATCCCCTTCTTCTTTTGCCCTCAATCTTTCCCTGCATTAGGCTCTTCTCCAGTGAGTCCTTCCTTCTCATTAGGTGGCCAAAGGATTTGAGTTTCATCTTCAGGATCTGGCCTTCTAAAGAGCAGTCAGGCATACGGGTGGGAAAATCCCTATGACCTAGCTCTACTCTAGGGGTACAAAAGTAATGCTAAAAGGTGGCATGTCCCCCATTATAATTTTTGTATTTCAACACAAAGTTCCTGTTTGCTGAACAATCTGCATTTAGCTAAATTCATACAACATGCTAAGACCAAGCTAACTGAATTACTGCTTAGCCCCAAAATTCACCATCTGAGGCTCTGGATCACATACCCCTAAGACCTCTGAAAGTTGCCATCTTAGCTTTTAATGTAATAAAAGAGGAAAATGATTAAAAGTGTACCTGTGCTATAATAATCAATCCAGTCTGTATTTAATTGTAATTAAAACTGAGATGGAATCGAACTGAAATTCTATTTAATTTTTGACCTTCTCCACTTGATAGTTTTTGGGAATATGTTTTTGTCACAACAAAAATCAGACGCTCACAGCGTCGGTGCAAACTGAGAAATGGGACAGAGACAGCATGAATGAAAAGTAACAGTTTAGTGGCAAATGTATATCTGACGACAGCTTTAGCAACAAAGCAGAAGAAAACACTTAAAAAAAAATAACAAATGAAAATATTCAAACTAGGGCGAGAGTGACCGATATTCAGCATAAGAGAAGCCACTGTGCTTAACCAACCAGCTTTCTGCAAAGCTGCTAAATGCAACGAAAAACAAATGGTATAACACAATTCCCCAATATCCTAGAGACAAAGAATAAAAAATGTTTGACCTAACCCTAACCGAACTGCAATCGTGAAGAAATGCACCGGCTTTAATTTGGGGTCTCTGCCACTGCCCGTATTTCTGTTCCATTTGCTGCCGCCAGCAATGTTGTCGGTCTTAAAAGAGATTCCCCTGTCCCGCTTCCCACGTTAAAATTAACCCTGTCATTGGGTTCCTGGACTCCAGGAGCACCCGTGCGTGAAAGTCCTGCCTAAAAGCTGCCGAGAAGGTTTCCAAAATAATCGGAGGGAGGGCTCGGCTATCTCCACGGCAGCCTTTGGAGAAATCCCATCTCCAATTCCCGTAATAAGGAGCTGAACCCCGATCCTCTTGGTGGGTAAACAATTCGACACAATACAGTAACAAGGATGTTTTTCCCAGCTACATTTTTTTTTTAAAGTGCCACTGTAGGAGACATTTCGAGCCCCTCTCCAATTTATTCACTCGTTAGCTGTTTCTGGTTCTTCGTCAAAAAGGCTCTTGGAGACAGAACCGCTTCTGTTGGCAATCTCTCTCTTCGAAGGGCCCCTGAGAGAGAGAGAGAGAGACAAAAGGGGATCAAGACTGCAGCTTTCACGGGTGACATCTCGTTAACGAACAAGACCGCTATTCAAAATTTCAGAATATTCATGAGTACGTGACCTTGTTTCAAGAGCTGTTTCAAAGAACAACCGAAGGCCCGCCTTTCCGCCCTGAATTTTTAAAAAATGCTGACACGTCTTTCTCTAGATGAGTTTTGGAGGTTGTGTTATTTTGGTTTAGCATCAATTGGCAATTTGTTGTTTAGGCCGATTGTCAGTTCCAGCAGAAACTCTTAACTTTGTGGGGTAGTGGCTTGTTGTGCCAATGCATGGGGCATTCAGCAAAGAGGAATGCATATGTAAAAATCCGGTGAAATATAAATGAATCACAGAGATTGGGGTTTGGACCACAAGCTAAATATAATTTTTGAGGGTTGTGGGATAGGTGTGGGATGTGAATGGCCGCAAATGAGAGCCAATATTGGTTTGTGGGAGAATGGAGCCCATGCTGCAATTATATCTTAAGTGGAAATAGCCTAGAGAAAGAATAAAATAGGCTAGAGCAGAGGCATAAAAAATACAGAGTGTGACTCTTCAGAATCTTGCAGAAGTGGGCCGTTGCTGCTACTGACAGCTCAGGGACTGGATACAGCCTGGAGGGGAATAAATGAATCACAAAGTGCACTTTATTTTTCCTTGAATTTACATTGCCAAGCCAGTGACTAGGGCAAAGAAATGGTGCCAAGCTGGCTTGTGCAACCGTGGTTTGTCAAATGAGTCACAACAGGTTGGAAGTGCAAGAGAGATTATAAAAGCTGGTCTGGAAACTATACAAAGTCAAGCAGAATATTAACATGCCTTAGAGCAGGGGTATCAAACTCGGTTTCTTTCAGGGCCGCATCAGGGTTGTGTTTGACTTCGGGGATGGGGGTGGGTGGGTGCATGGCCAGCTCGTCGTCACTTGTGTGGGGGGCACCTGTTGTGGCCAAGTGCTAAGGCAGGACTTCCCTCAGACCCTCCCTCCCTCTCAAGAGCCTTGGTGGCACAGCTGACTAAGTGCTGTTAAAGTAGCACCAGCTGCCTGCAATTACTGCAAGTTCAAATCTCACCAGGCTCAAGGTTGACTCAGCCTTCCATCCTTCCGAGGTAGGGAAAATGAGGACTGTGGGGGCAATAAGCTGACTTTGTATAAAAAAAAGAACACCGCTTAGGGGGGGCCGAAAGCCCTACTAAGCAGGTATATACAAAAGTATGAAGGCTATTGCTTAACGCATTGTAACTCGCCCGGAGTCTCCGGAGAAGGGCGGCATATAAATCGAACCAATAAATAAGTCAATAAATAAATAAATTATAATCTCCTTCCTTCCTTCCTTCCTTCCTTCCTTCCTTCCTTCCTTCCTTTCCTTCCTTTTTTCCTCCCTCCCTCTTTTCCTTCCTTTTTTCCTCCCTCCCTTTTTTCCTTCCTTTTTTCCTTCCTTCCTTGCTCTCTTCCCCTCTTTTTCTTCTTATTTCCTCTTTCCCTTTCTCCTTTCCTGTCCCTTCTTGCTTGCTCAAATGCAAAAGGGGAAACATTTCTCCTTTTGTTTTTAATTTGTTTTACTAGCACTCTGCCAGTGAAAACGGAGCCCCGTTTTCGCTGACAGTCCTTTTCTGTTTCCAGAGTGGCCCTGCAGACCAGATCTAAGCACCGCGTGGGCCTTGAGTTTGACACCCCTTGCCTTAGAGGGAAGCTAGTTTCTGAGGCTTTGAACCAGGGTCCAAAGCTCGTTTCTGAGGCTTTGAACTATGGTTCAAAACTTAGCTTTAGGCATGAGTTAGGCCATTCGTTACAGCTTGTTCACAACCTACAGTTAAAGCAAACCATAGCACAATTCAGGAGGCTCCACCGATCTGTTGGAACTAAATTTCTTACTAAACATTTGCATGACTCTTGTTTGAAGGGAATCAAGGCAGCAAATGTGGACCGTGAAGAATCAGGACCAGTTCCAGTACAGAGGATTTATTGCTCAAGCCTAGGACAAGAATCCAGTCCAGTAATTGTCAGCATTAAATTGGTGCTAGATAAGAGTTAACAGAATTCAAGGGGGGGGGCTGGGCTTGGAGCAGTGGTGGGCACATAAGGATTCTAGGCGACGTCCTCTCGACTCCACCTCCAAGCTCTGCCTGCTCTTCTTCCTACACAATCCTATGGTTTGTGGCTGCTCTGGAATATATATGGAATATAATTTATTATCAGACCTGGGGTACTTACTCTTGAACGGGCCAGTAGCTGAGCAGGGCTGTAAGAGACAGGTAACAAACGCTCAGCATTCCGGAAACCAGCAGCGACAGCAAGCCCAATCCACCGAGAATGCAAAGCAAGGTGACGCCACCTAAGGATATTACGAAACCTAACAAGGAGGAGATGCAATTAGCCTTACGCAGTGGTGAAATTCAATTTTTTTCTACTACCAGTTCTGTGGGCGTGGCTTGGTGAGTGTGGCACGGGAAGGATACTGCAAAATCTCCATTTCCACCCCACTCCAGCGGAAGAATACTGAAAAATCCCCATTCCCTCCCCACTCTTGGGGGAAGGATACTGCAAAATCTCCATTTCCTCCCCACTCCTGGGGGAAGGATACTGCAAAATCCCCATTCCCTCCCCACTCCTGGGGGAAAAGATACTGCAGAATCTCCATTCCCTCCCCACTCCTAGAGGAAGGATATTGCAAAATCTCCATTCCCACCCCACTCTGGGACCAGAGGTGGTATTTGCCGGTTCTCCGAACTACTCAAAATTTCTACTACCGGATCTCCAGAACTTGTCAGAACCTGCTGGATTTCATCCCTGGTTTTATGGCTTCTCTAGGGAACTCTTTATTGCATCATTGTCAATAGATGGCAGCAAGTAGCAAATTTATGGCTGGTGTAGGACAGCTCAGCAGAGTTAAGCCTGGTTAGTTCTTGTCTGGGAGGCCCCTAAGATACCTTAGGGTAGTAGACTAGACTAAGAGAGTGAATAAAATCCTGTAAGGAGGCAATCTGCACTGTTGCCAAGGAAACAGGACTCCTGCCATTAAACTTCAAGCAAGTTTAACTTTATTTATTGTCATTGGGTAGCCTTGAATGACGATCAAGTTGGAAGCTCTAAATTCCTTTCAAAGGCTGCAGCTATCTCCAGAGAGGACAGCGGAGTCATCCCAACCCCATTTCTCCAAAGGCGTGAATACCTTCCATGACGATCACTCCAATGCACGCCAGGACCGTGGTGGTGACGACAAAAACCAGGAAAAACGCAATGGGGATGGCCGAGGCGGCAATAAATACCATCAGGGAGAGGGCGACGAAAGGGTGATCATCTAAATACTGGCCAACTCTGGAGTTCATAAA